CTTCGAAAAGCTTCGACCTAGAAGCGAGCAAAAATGGCTTCATGAATACGTAAAGTTTGCAAGAATGTAGCGTAAAATAGGGCGACACACTGCGAATGATATGATTTGGAATCATGTTATTCGTCTTATCACTTTTAAGCTATAGCATGTATATTTTTAAATGCAAATCACTGTGTGTGTGTCTTTCTCTAGAATATAATATGTAAATCTCCGGCTGGATTTTATCCAGATTTAATATCTCGCGAATAGCCAAGAGTATATAGACTGAACGTGACAAAGTATTGATCGTTGGATGGAAATAAGAGAGAGAAAGAGAGAGAGAGAGAGAGAGAAAGCGAACGAGAAATTGATACATAAGTTAGGATAAATGTAATGCAAGACATGGCGACAGCACGCGGATACCGATTGTGATGAAAGAGTCGTGGGGACAGGGGATGAGATGACAAACGGGACAGGGTAACGCGGGAAAAAAGGGACGAAGGATTGATACGCAGATGCACACAAGTACCGGCGCACGCTGGCACAAGCGGACGAAAATCGACAGCGGCAGCGAAAATCAGGCACACATATCCGGGGAAAGGCGCGCCGAAAAGGAAGATCGAAAGAAAGGGGTTGGGAGGAAGAGCGATAGGGGGACGTGGTAGCTCGACGGGAGGGAGCGCGCGTGGTGAAAGGGACGCGAACAAACAGGCATCGATTTCAATGGGGTGAAATGGGTGAAACCACCCTCTATGCTGCAAGTGGGGATAAGAGCGGAACTTAAGGCAGGAAAAACGAGGAGAGTGGATGCATTACTGCATGCAAGTGCAGCGATAGTGGGTCGCTGCGATCAGGCGGGCGCGCACGTCGATCGCAATAAGAAAATCGGAAATACGTTCGCAGAATACAGAGAAGAGGGTTGATGCCGAGCGAGAGTATCGAGAGAGCAAAGACGCGAGAAGAACGGCAGGGGGGAAGAAGGCGGACAAGGGAGTCGGGAAAGGGGTAGAGGGGACGATGGGGAGAGGACGACTCGCAGGAGCGAGGAAGATAGCGGGAAGGAAATGGCAACGTTTTCGTTCCGGCGGCACAAGGCGCATGTCTCCTTCACCCGCAATAACCGGCGGGGGGGGGAAGCACGGACCGCTCGACTTCATGCGCGACAGTATATAACGCGGGTAATACAATTTGTCGAAATTTATTGCCCCTCGATACCCGCCCGTGCCCCTCCGATGGAATCAGCTTTCTCGGTCGTAGCGCTCGCATTTGCAGTTCGCTCTCTCCCGAGCTTTCGACAAACGCGTAAAGCCACCCCGTGTACCCCTGGCGCGAACAGTCTATTCGCGTTTATGCAATTCGCCGGTATATTTGTATGCATCCCGACTGAAACTTTTCTTCAGGTGAAATATATCATCAGTGAATTAAATAGAAGGGATATTCGCGCTCTATAGAATTTTTTATTTATAATGTCATATCTCTCTCTCCCCCTCTCTCTCTCTCTCTCTTTCTCTCTCTGCTTATAATAAAAAATTATTTAAGGATATTAATATTCGAGATGTTTAATCGATAATATTTTATATTATTGTGCTATGCCGCGCAAAATTCCACATTCATTAAATTTTGGCGACTGCTGTTGACATACTAATAAATTGGTACATCGGGTCGCTCTTCACTCGCTTCGTTTTTCAATCGAAAAAATAAAATTTCTGTTGAAAGAATTAAATATGTAACCTCACGCACCACACCGATCTCGCTCGTACAACGCGAGCATTGTACGGGTGCCAGCTCTCGTTATTCCACGTGTGTCATGCTTGTCCAAGGTAGAATTCACGTTCTACCATCGCTTGGTGAAAAACGTTTCATTAATTCGTCCGTTCGCTCGCAGTGGGTAGAAAGAGATTCTTTTGTTTGTCCTATTTAATCTGCCAGATTCCGATATCAAGAGTCTGCTCATAGTAGACTCGAAAGAGGTCACGACGGACTAATTGGGACCGGTAGATTCAAAGAAATTCAATAGCGAGAACCACGTCGGAATAACGATCGCGATCGAACGCAGATATTACCTATCGGCCAGTAAATCGGAGTCGCAATGTATAAATCACATCCGCGCAATCGTGACGATCCTGATGGTAACTGACAGGAATAATTAGCGAGGTTCCTCGAATCGCTCGGAGTGCTCCAGTTTGCACACTTCCGATTCGCGATCGATTTTCGTCGTTCTCACTTCCTTTCTTCTGCGTCTTCTCCTCGTAATAGTCAGACGAATGTAGGTAAGAAGGTGTAGGATCAGAGAGGAGAGAGAAGAGCAATACTCCCTCGAGTATTGCCGAGCTTCTGCAGTAGTGCAAAACGCAGCGCTTTTGCGAATTGATCGTCGTTGTGCAAGAAGCACATATATATATATATATATATAGAGAGAGAGAGAGGGGAAATATGTACATATATACGTTCTTCTAGGATGGTTAACAATCAGCAATAAGGTAACGTTGTTGGTTTGGCGAAGCGACAGGGGAAAAGGAAAATAGAAAAGCAATATGGTATATCGACGACGGAGGATGGTATATAAAGCCCCGGAGGAAAGAATCGGCAAAAATAATCGCCGCTACTGTCGATTAAACTTTGAAGCAATTAATATCGCGATGTCTTTGTGTTACCGCCATCCAGACAACACAAATGGTTACCGTAACTGAATTACGTTCATTGTAAACAATATTGCGGTATAGAACTATTTTTGAAAACTTCCATCTCTCTAAAATAAACTTTGAATCGATCGATCAATTTGTTATTTTAGTACCGGCTAAATTTGTCGAAGCCATCTCCATCCAAAAAATCAAACCTTTAAAACCTTTATCTTTTTTTATCGACAAAAATTTTTTTATCGACGAAATTTCATAATAAATTTTCAATGCGTGCGCGGGCGTATAAATGCCTACGTGTGTTGCGAGCGTGCCTAGGTACGCAGGTTGCAACTACAAGCCGTAGGCTCGTAAGCCGTAGGCTCTACTCGGCCCGACGTTGTTGCCGAAGGAGGGAAACTACCCTTTGGCACGCGAGAATGGCGAACCGACCATTACGTTCACCAAGACTATCTCGCATTCCCTCTTACCGCGATCTCATCAGCCTCGCTCTCTTTCTCTTTCTCGTTCTCTCTCTCTCTCTCTCTCTCTCTCTCTCATTCTCCCTCGATCACCTCAAGGCCCACAACACAAACGTGTTGCACGTTCGTTTACCTGCGCGCGCTGCACGTGCGGCAGGGACCAGTCACGTAGCCAAGGGAGAGGCAAAGAATAGTTAATTGTTTGTAATTAATATATTACATGCCGAGTGGTAAGTCCCGAGTGCTGCTACATTATCCGATAGCCATCGCTTATTTACGGTGCTACACAAGGGTCTGCGTGGCCTACTGAGCGTGTCTGCACGTAGATGTGCTCGATGCACGCGTGTCGGTGCAATGATACATACGACGATGGAGGCGATGGGAGGAAAGTCGTCGACCGTAGATGCACGGTGGAAATGGAGGGGAAAGGGGATGTTGGATGGGCAGCAAAGGCACCCGGTAAATTCCTTGTGGTTTACTACAACCGCATCCCTCTTCCCCCATCTCTACCGTTGCACGTCGGTATGCACTTAAGTGCGATTCCACTCGACCGAAGAATATATGTCGCGTCCAAGCAAGCGTTGTAAAATTGCCTCGCTCTCTCGAGAACAAAACGATTTTTCGTTTGGATTCTTATTTAATCCTCTTTCGATGCGCTATCTTTCAACGGAAAAGTATAAATGACACTATGACAAACATTATGACATGGACTACGGACAATTTCGATTTCACGGATAATTTCGTCGATTGAAGCTTAATTAAAGAAAGATACACGCTTCATTCACTTAAAATTACTTGAATCAGTTAAGAATATATATTTCAATATCGCACCATATACCAGTATCTAACGAGAGATGACTTTTACGAGACGTTTATTCTCCTCCTTGTGTTCAGAATCTCGAACATATGTCAGATATCAAGATACGAGAACCAACTTACCGTATCGAGGAGCGTGCCTCGAATATCTTTCTATAGCGAGCATCGCGCAGCTCGTTTCTTCAATATGCGTTTCTTCGTCGCGGGTATGCGCTACCGTGTCTCGCACGACTTATTATCCTCTCTAGGAAGGCTCGACGTCACGAGGATATTCATTGCTACGGATTCGATATTTTCCCCCGAGTGACGTGGCCCCAAGAGTAATTTCACGAGACCTTCCGCGCCGACTCCACTTCGGCATTTCCTCGCCCTCTTCCCTGACCCCTCGGATCTTCCTATCCCATCTTCCTGCCCTCGTTGCTGTCTCGTTCCAACCTCCATCCTTACGTTCCGACCCACCAGATCGCACGAATTTCCATGAAATTACGTGATACCAAGCGACGCGGGCAGAAACGAGCGGAACCGACTGATAATTACTTTCGATCGTAACTATGGTAATGAGACGGCTAATTATAAAAAGAGATTACAAGCTGCACCAGACGAAGGCGGAGGAGACTTTCTTACGACATGACGGGGCTTAAACACGACGAGAGGAGACAACGACTATGCCCGGCGCTTGAATTACGACTTTCGCGACGACTAACTACTTTTAATGAACAGTCGCGAGCGTAATGAATAGAAAGCGTGCCCGCCAGCTCGACAAGCCGGCTCGATATCTCAGCCTGACGAGCTTTATTTTCTTCACGGCGGTCTCTCGAAAACCATCCTGCGGCATACTCGCGTTATTCGTATATCATTTCATTAGATTTCACAGAAAGCAGTGAGGAGACAAAATTCTTCCGCGAAGATTTCTTTATCTCACGTATCAGATATGTCAGAATTAAGACGATGATTTTAAACTACTGAGATCTAAATATAAATTTTTACTGTTTTGTCATGTGTTTGAGATAAACATCTATTTTTTCCAAAATATTATTTATGCGTAAAAGATCGATATTTCAGCTTTTTCAGTCATTCTTACCACTCACGTTCTGCTTCACCATTCTAGGCAGGATCGAGTGGATCGGATTGAGGCTCTGGAAGCATGGCGTATCGATAAACAACGACAGCGGAATACCAAGAGTGTTTTCGATTTTACTCCAAGATTGTACAGAAAATGCGGATGGAATTTGTGCAGCTCAAACCTCTCTTTGGTAAAGAGTTCTTTCTATATTTCATCACTCGAGAATCAAAGCAGCAGATTTATACCTCTCTTTACTTCAATAAGCATATTTTGTGCGATTGTAGTTCTATTTTACTACACGAATGTTTTTTTTCAATCATGTGTGTTCGATAATCGTACTTCTATCCATATGTTTTTGCCGTATATTTTTCATCTGCTTAACACTTGTTATATAGTTTATTCGTAAGATTTACAACTCATTTTTGCCTTTTTTTGCCTTGCTTTAGTAAGCATAATTTATACGACTGTAACTTTATTTTATTGCACAAAACTGTACAAAATATTTTTCACTCGTATGTTTGATAATCGTACTTCCATTCATATATTTTTCACTGCATATTTTAAGCCTGGTTAACGCTTCTTATATATACATAGTTTATTTGTAAGATTATGCGATGTAAAACTATATTCATCGAGTGAAACTATATTCATCTTGTCTTTTTAAAAGACAAAGCTTACTATTTACGGGAACCCAACAGTAGGAAAATTAGTTTTTGCATGTACTGTTTACCAAGCCGCGAAACACGGTGGAAAATCCAGTAGCAGCGGTTTAAAGGAGGTAATAATTCCTCGGCAAGGACCAGATAGTAGCGGTTGCAGTAAAATTTTTCCCGGCGCACATGATTTGTTGGTAATGTACTTCAGAGACTTCTCTGATGAAAATGGGAAATAAATTTTCCGAACGTATAATGCGTTTTTGCGCGGCGCAATTTTGCGCGATATCACATCTATCCAATCAGTAAACTACGTTTATCTTTCTTTGCCAAGTTTTTGTCATCAGCAAAGCGAAACAGAAAAACATTTTATACGAGAACAGGAATGCTTAGAAGTATCGTATATTTCTTCGATACAATTTAATTCGCCGAATACATACGATTCTATGCTATCATGCTATTTTTGTCGCGTCCGCTTTAAAATTATTTCTCATGTTTCTCGTACGCCTAAAGTGTTTCAATGTCGTTTTTTTAAATCTTGCTAGAAGGTTAGATGCAAAGCAATTAAAATCAACTAGTCGAAATTTAATTTAAATATGCGTAATAAAACTACATCGCGTTATTATAAGATGTTTCAAGTATGTGATAAACTTTGATATCAAAATTTATTAAATCTGATATAATAAATGTACGTAAAAACGTTATAATCATTTATGCGATCAAAGTAGCGAAGGCACCGCTGATACCTGCATAAAATTAATGATTTCAAAACGTTACATCCTTATGGTTTTGAGAAGAAATCAAACAGCTGCGCGGTGTATCTAAAGAATCCGAATGATCGTCCTTATAATATAACCGTGCGTCTATTTGAGCGAAATTTAAACCAAGATGCTGCTTAAAAGAGAATAAAAAAGAAGAGGAAGACAGAAAAACATTTTATACGAGAACAGGAATGCTTAGAAGTATCGTATATTTAATTCGCCGAATACATACGATTCTATGCTATCATGCTATTATTTTCGTCGCGTCAGCTGTAAAATTATTTCTCATGTTTCTCGTACGCCTAAAGTGTTCCAATGTCGTTTTTTTAAATCTTGCTAGAAAGTTAGATGCAAAGCAATTAAAATCAACTAGTCGAAATTTAATTTAAATATGCGTAATAAAACTACATCGCGTTATTATAAGATGTTTCAAGTATGTGATAAACTTTGATATCAAAATTTATTAAATCTGATATAATAAATGTACGTAAAAACGTTATAATCATTTATGCGATCAAAGTAGCGAAGGCACCGCTGATACCTGCATAAAATTAATGATTTCAAAACGTTACATCCTTATGGTTTTGAGAAGAAATCAAACAGCTGCGCGGTGTATCTAAAGAATCCGAATGATCGTCCGTATAATATAACCGTGCGTCTATTTGAGCGAAATTTAAACCAAGATGCTGCTTAAAAGAGAATAAAAAAGAAGAGGAAGAAGAAGATGAAGCAAGAAAAATGTAGGATAATCCGAGTACATAAGAAAAAAGTGACACAAGCACGCGTGAACCGAAATGTCGACGGTCAAGTCTTCGTTCGCGCAAGTACGACGTGACTTATCGTGATAGCATTATACCTGCATGACCAGCACAACTGCGCCACGTCGAGCCACGTTGTAATTGCAAATGCTCCGAAAGGTTGGAACCCGTTGACCGACGGGTCACAGTCCATGTCCTATCGTTGATGAAGAAATACCTTTTCGCATGAACGTTCGTCACGACGCGTCGCGACGCGTATCTGATGGGAGAAAACGTGAGAACGTTTTGCGTCTGCAAAACGAATTTAAGATTTTTATTTTTTTCGTGTGTCTTACGATGCGTTAACGTTACGTCATAAATAGAAATTAGCCTTAATTGAAGAATGGATTTAATAAGTACCAGTTATATTAATAAGTGTCACAGATAATATTTTGAATTACAATAAAAAATATCTTAAATCTCAGTTTTCAGAAGTATTATTATTTAATTTAGTGTTTCAAGCTGCTTAAAATGTTGAATTAAAATATCTTATAAAAAAACACTACATCTTTTAAAAAAGAAGCGTGTTAAATGTAATTTTTTATAAAAGACACGTTAATATATTTTCAAATAGTGTGAAAGTTGAAAAAGAGAACAGAAATAAGATAAAAGAAATTAGAAAAAAATTCTGCGACAATGTTTCATTTCTTAGACAAGGAAAAGCTGCTAGATTTTCCAGACTTGCGCATTGGTATTGCAAGCACGCAGGTGACCACCATAAATTTAGACAAGACGTCTAAGAAACAGGCGAAAAATTAAAAAAAGATCAATTATCGAATCATAATGCATGTACTGCATATTTTTTTTTTGCTCGAATAACAATTTTGTGTAAGTCTATAGTCATATTACACAGTTGCATATCCCAACAAAAAAAATTTATTTACATACCACATGTTAGAATTCCAAAAATTCTTATTGTAATAAAAATATATTATGTTACCTATTCGCTTTATTTTAATGTATTTGATTAGTTTTGATAGACGTGCGTATCAAATGCGAATTCATCGCTGTTTTTATAATATTCATGACTTAACAAATTCTTCAAACAATTTTAATTTGCACACAAATAAGTTAGTCACTTTAACATATACTATCTTAACTTATGCTTTATACTTGCGTAAACGACTATCTTATCTTGACACATTTCTTCCGCAATGGAGAGAGAGAAAGAGGGAGAGAGAAGAGAGAGAGAGATGTCATCTCAATAAATATTTATGATGTGTTAGTTAATCTACAGCAAAGATTAACAAGACTACGATGATTAACATAATTTTGAGAGAAAACCATCGAATAGGGAATATGTATATACAACCAAATTGCATTACGGTAGTCGTATAATGAAGAGTAAAGTTGAACCGCGACTATGTATTTTATTTACTTCTTCGATTAGCACCGCATAACGAGAATTCCTCATCTCGACATAAAAGATTGTCGTGCTAGATTATCCCCTGCTCTCCGAAATATGTAATAAATCAAACAACCAAAACGCGCCAACATAGTTGAGCTGAAACAATTTTCTGTTGGCAAAAGATGCAATTGCAGAATAATTTTCTCTATCCCGCGCATCTTTATATCTCCAGTTGAATTGTGTTAAACTACCGGGAGATTTCACTGCAAATAAATGCAGTGGAATCTCCCGTATTGCCTTTATATTTTAAGTAAAAGTATTATGTTGTAAAAAATGTGGTATTAAAAAATAATTTATAACAAACAATTTTTCTTATTTTTTTAATAAATTTGTATATAATATGATATCATGCGTCATACGAGCTATATTTTTTTATCTTTAAGTTACCAGGGAACATTGATGAAATAATAACGATCTCACGGTTTACTAAGCTTCACTCCATTGCTTCCCCGAGAGTGACAAGGGTTGTGCGTGCTGAAAAAAAAAAATATGCGTAACTGAGGAAATCTGGTGGAAGAATTACCGACGTGATGACATGCGATGCATTTACGGTGATTAGCCGCTGGATGTGTAAACCGGGAGAGACGTTGATACACGAGAAAAATACACGAGGCGCAGGAGAATGATGCGCCAAAAGGGTTAAATGGAGAAGCGTAGCGCGGTAGAGGAATTCAAGGATAACGACGCTAAGGTCGCCAACATATTAGATTACATTTTAATCAGTTTTTCTCCCGCCCGAGGCTCATTCCTCACAACTGGAGCGTGTCACGCGCAATTCACCACTCTAAAGCCTCCCTCTATTCCACGGTAATGCTTTTATGGTCTTAATTTCTTAGTTCCTCGACTCTCGGACGAGTACAGCGGTCAAATTACCACGTTATCAAGGTAATCCCGTTACCACGTCTGGCAACCGGCAAGGTCCGCGGAGTCTTTCTCGACGTTACTTCCGTGTAACCCTCTCTCTGTCCTTTCATCAAGATAATTAACCCAGACGGCAGCTTTCCCCTTCGTGTAAAAGTCCTTAAACAACATAAAAACAGAGAGCCCGATACTATCTCGTGAGCCATTACATTACATTACGACAAGAAAATTTCCTAAGGACACGATCCATCCCGTTACGCAGTCGCAATAATCTTCAAGGAAGGAATTCACGGACTTTTCCGTCGTCTATCACAAAGTCGCTTTAATCTGCGTTAACGAGTAATATCGAAAAGCAAGTCGAGCAACAACGACGTCGCATTTTCAAAGGGCTCTGCTGATTCGCGTCTTTTGCAATTTATGTAAACAACGTAATGCAATCTTTCTCTTTTTTTCTGTTTTTAATATAAAGATGCTAGCTCGCGCGCGCGCGTCTGTGCCCGTCCCGCGCGGCGAGGATGCCTCTATAATCATATATAAAACTTCTTTTAATTTACTTGGCAATATGTTTCTTTAAAAATTTTTCCGGACATCATTAGAAACAAAATCTGATGTATATTAAGAAGTTTATTAAATACGCAAAATTTTTAATTTATATATTTATAACAAATTTCTTAATATACATTATGGCATATATAAGTTAATAGTTTCTATAAAGTTTATTTATTATTTTATACGTGATTAAAATAATATTTCTTTATAGATAACATCTCATGTAAAATTTCGAATTCACTATTTGCTTAATATATCGAATTTAATATTTTGTTAACATTGTTGGACAAGGAATACAACGGGACAGAAGATACCTTTGAAGATGCAAATACACGGGTTGTTAGCAAACGGCCATTATATTCCGAACACGTTGGTTCCCTTATTAGCTTTGCTTGTACCTACCGATCCTGCATTGTGCACATGCTACTGAAATCACATTTTCATCCCTTATTCCAAGAGACTCGATTATTGTAACGAGGGAAAGTTTATGTACCGTTGGCACATAACGCTTTAACGAGATCTCGTTGAAGGACAGATAAATTTATTGGAAATCACCTATGTCTTTGTGTTTGAAAGATAATTTACTCCCACAAATGCAGGATTGTATAAAAAGATTATATAGAAAATGTATAACATTAATATTAAAATATTATTTAGATTTTTTTTGTCACATATGTTATGTAAGCAAATATAAGTTAATTCTAAAAATATCGCTATAGACAAGTAATAAAAAAGATGTAATTGATATAATTACATTATCAAAATTCTCTTATCCAGCGCGATAGGCAGAACGTTCAAATTTCCATAAAATCGATCGGCAAATTAATTAACGATCTCTTGTGTACCCATTATAAATGGACACGGACGTAAATTCAAAGAGCCAATTAATACCGAGCGATTATATGCGGAAGAACACATCGTGTCTGGCGCGAAGGGTATTCGTCGCGCCGCGTCTCCCACGGGGTCTTCCGGGCGGTCTTGGACGATTTGCATTTAATCGCAATCGTCGTGCGGCGAACACGCCGGCGTGTGTACCGCGCAGATACGAATTCATAGTTTACACCGAACGGCCCTCCAGTTCATATACGCAAACTAATTGTACCGGCGGTAAATTACAGCGCTTGTACAGCAGCAACGGCAGCTGCATCGCCGCCGCATGTGCGCCATTGCAATACAAGGCCCGTTTCATAGTGCACCCGTATACGTACGTAAACGCCCGCGAGAGGAGAACGCGGCCGCGGAATGAGGGGACGAGAAGGACTTTTAAACCTGGGAGGCAAGAGCGAGGGGAAAGAGAGAGCGGAAAAAGAGTGCGTCGAGCGATTACCCTTCGCCCGCGCTCGATTAATACTCATTTGCATTTTGATCGCGGTAGCGGTAATTGGCGGTTACTGGTTTTGCGTAAGCCCGGCAATCTGTGGGAAAAAGGAGTCATTCGAATGTCTCGGGACAAACTTTTTGCACGTTTCGGCAACCAGGCTCGTTTCTCGGCGGTTTACGCCGCATGTGGTGACGAGGGTTGCGGACGACGAGGTTTCGAATCAAAACGCGCAAAAGGGCAAAACAGAAGAGGGTCGCTTCCCGATTCCGAACACGGTTTTATGAGGTCAGAGCTCATCGAGTAGGACGGTCATTAAACTCCATAATTAGCGGTGGTGATCAATTACGGGTCAGGTCACCGTGCAATAGATCCCCGAGATTGAACACGCAGTTTGGTGATGTTCTCTAATATGCTATTTGTATTATTAATTATCGTGTGCAAGGGATCCTTAAAAAGAGCATCATGCATTAAATTTTAGATTTTTTAGTAAATAAATTATAAAAAATTGTATAAAAAAGAAATATGATGTGAGATAAGTATGTCTGAAAAATATAAACAAATTAATTTTTATAAGAATAAAAAATGTCACATTTATTTTAAAATGCTAACTAATGCTATATTGTTTATATCTCGCTTGTTGTAAATTCGGGATAGCACTTTCTCACAACAAAGTATTTTCTCTAATAAATTTGGTGCTCGCCAAATATAATCAAAAGAACCCTCGCATAAAACACGTTTAAGCGAATAGCCGAGGTACCATCCCGACGAAAGGATCAACATATTTTTGCAGATAGAGTCGATCCCAGCGGCGCAGATGTCAATTTTCTGCCCCAGGGCACTCGTAATTATGAGATGAAGATTTAAATCCAGGCAGTTTCCGATTGGCGACAAGTTCAAAGGGTTCTTTCATCGATGTTTACAACACTCCAGGGAGGATAAGGTAGAAAGATTTCGAGAGAATTTTCATTTTTTTTCTGGCTAATGCGAATGTTTGTGCGCGCGTAGCGGATTTTGCCTTCTTTTGCGTGGTTTTCCGCAATGTCCGAAGCGTAAAATTGGTAGAATCGCATTAAAGATAAGGTCTATCTGTCACTTGGGACCATTCGAGAGAGCAAACTTAGAAGGGCCAAGGATCTTTATAACTTTTTCATACAACAATACGCATTCGCAATTTGCCATTGCGAGTTATCGTAAAATAAGAAAAAACAACTTATAAACACAATTAGATTTCTAACAAGAAAAACTGCATTGACTAATTGCGCAAATATCACGCTTGTTGTGAAAATAATTGCCCGACATATTTAATTGGAATATTGTTCAATTAAAACTAATTCTCCGCCTGGTTACATTAAACGTCCTTCGAGATATAACCGCAATGAAATAATAATAACGGATAACATTAACTATAATCGGATGTATGCACAAACACACATTGTGTAAAACATTATTAATATAGATAATAAATTATCTATCTCGAAATTATTTATGCGCATGATTAATCACATTTTCTAAATGTACGTAAAATGTTGAATCACAATAATACAAAATTATACGATACAGAAAAATAAAAAAAATTGTAATTGAATTTTTTTAGATATATGCGTGCTCTCGAAATATAATTTAAATTTTCTCTTGCGAATAAGAATAAAATCGTTAAATATTCTAAAAACGTTTTGAGAATGAAATTGCAGCTTTTCCCTCTTTGCTTTCTCATTACACGAATATATTACATTATGTCTGGCATATTTAAAACATATTCAGCGGCGATCATTACGTGTGTGTTATTTATTAATTTGTAATTATAGTTAAATATACATTATAAGAGTATTACAATTTAATGTCATACATGAAAATGTATAAATGTATTAATACACTATTGTTATGCTTATAAAAACAATAAATGGAATAAATGAGATAATCTATATCATATATTGATAAATTATATATTGATAAATTTTTACTACATGTTTTAATAAATTCTTATAAGCGTTTCCGCTAGATGCGACATCGAAATAATTATTTTATATCAAATTGTCTTTCTAATGGTTTTTACTCCTCTATCTAATAAAAAGGAAATTTACTCATTTTTTTGGACGTAACGCTAAACACTAAACATTAAACGTCTTTACATAAAAAGAACGAAACGCATTATAACAAATATTACCAGTCTAGCAATAACTCTTCTTCTTCCTTCGCTTATATATCCACTTGTATATATTCGTTTCAGCAGATGTACCATTCGGATATTTCATAGGACTTATAAAAGACGAACACACAGGAAATAGGAAATAAGTGTTGCAAGTGCCTTCTCGGGGATGGATCTCTTTGAAAGACGCGATCGCGGAAGCGAGAAGAAGAAAGAGAGAAAGAAGTAAAAAGCGGAAAGGCAAAAGTAGACGGGTGTGGCTCTTTCGGCCTCTCGATATCAGACAGAGGGCGGACATATGAAGTTAGCAAACGTGCCAACTTGCCCATTTCCTACTTATCGAGTTTTCCCGGCAGCAGAGTGGAAAGTGAGAAAAGGACCGCGGTGGGGCTTAAGGCGATAGGAGACAAGGAGAAATTCGAAACGTGGAAGGCAAAAGTAGGCGGAGGATCGCGCGAGGGTGATGGCAACGCTCGCTGAGGTTTTCCTCTAATTTCCCGAACTTGATTAAAACTTGTCCGCCATAAAAATCAAGTTTCGTCTTTGCCAGGTATCCGTTACCGTTTCAGATCGTTTCTCTTTCTCTCTCTCTCTCTCTCTTCTTCTTCTTCTTCTCCGCATCTCGGGCGCGAGCCAGACGATATCCACGGATCGGGATCGGCACGGCGGAAATTTCAGCAAGATCGCTGCTAGTGAATTTAAATCAGGTACCAATTTGACGAGAGTGGTTTTGTGTCTCGATATTGAGAGACAGAAAATTTCGATGGTATAAAAATTTTATAACAAGTCATATTTATTATACACCCAGTTCGTGTCGTATCTTTCAGAAATAAGTATATCTTATTGCATAATTAATTTAACTAAATCTTTTAATATAATTCTGTATTATGATGCAAAATAGCTTTAATTTAGGAATATTTTGGAAATATTTATTTCGAAAACTGTTAACTATATATATATATTTAACAGTTATACATATAACATTATATATGTATATATATTTGTAATAAAATTTTCGTTTATTCAATATAAGACAGTATGTTATATATATAATTTTATCCCAAATATTTAATAATTCTTGAATTAAATATTTGTGATATATTTCTAAAAAAAAAGCTTTAATTTAGAAATATATTAGAAATATTTAATTCAAGAATTATTAAATATTTGTGTTAAAAAATCAGTTCATTCTTGATATATTGCATATCCTACATATACATACATATATATATATATATATATGTATATTGTTTCGCATCGAGAATTGATATGGAGGGGAATTACAAGGAAATGCAATTTTCTTGAATAAGCTATTAAGCTCATATATATGTGTGTGTGTAGGATATGCAATATATCAAGAACAAACTGATTTTTTAATCTTATTTTATATGCAGATATGTATATATGTACAATGTTATAGGAGGACCGTGATTTCAGTCTAGCAAAAAAATTCTCTTACGAATGCGTAGCCACAATTTGATGGCGGGAACCACTCTCAAAACCCAGGATTTTGGGAAGAGAACGTTACTTTTTTTTTTTTTTTTTTACGAATGTGCTGCCGGTGGTAACCAACGGTCTCCATGATGGATGCTTTTTACGACCATATAAAACCAAGTCCTGTCCATTTCAAGCCTCCTTTGTAATTCTCTCTTCTTCCGCGACTCTGTTCTAACTTGAACGAGCTTCTGTATTAAATTTCCACTATAAATTTTAATGATTCTTCCTGGTATAATTGAGAGAACGCATCAATCTTCAATTACAAATCACAATCGTTCGCGGATCTCCGTTCAAAAACCATGAAAGTGATATGTTTACCAGATACAATTAACAGAATGTCAAGATGATATCGTTGATTTTAATTATGTATTTAAATAAATTTATAGCGAGATTTTTACTCTTTTTGCGGATCAAGCGAGATGTGCTAGTAACGAAATAAAATTGCGCCAACGATATTGCGCTTAGCTTGAAATACTGTAGTTGTTCTATTTCCAAGGATGTTGAATGTTACATATTACGGCTTAAATACTCAAAGATCGATTTTGATTGCTTAATCCCCGTATATTTTAAACTACTAATATAATCACACTTCAAATACCTATTGATATTTTATCTTCATTATTCATCTTGTTCTATGTATTTCTATTTGTAATTTAATAATGCCTGTAAGAGAGTGAAGAAACTCCGTAAACTTCAAGTAAATTCGTCAAGAAACCCGTCATTAAAATTAAAATCATAAATTATACGGACACCCTGTATATGCTCTTTAAATTACATCTCCGTGGTGAGTTTAATAGAGTCTCGTTAATTTCTTCAACCTAGATTCGGCCCGCTCGTAAATTACGAAGACGCGATAACACGTACACTTTAATTAATTCTCGTTTAATCATCGCGTTATTACACAGCGTCCGTGGTGCGCCCGTACCTAATCGCATTTTATCGAATTAATAAAGCGTGCGCGTTCGCTGTTCCGACATTCTGCTCGACGAGTCGCACGTGAGTAACGTGGCGTTTTCATCACGACTGACATAATTGACCGCGGCCGATGCTCACGGCCATTAACGCCACTGTGAGAGGGTCGGATGTATATGAGATATAATATAATTAAACGGCAAACTGTATGAAATCAACTTCAACGGGGCGTACATCGAGTGGACGGCCGATTGAACTCGCTGTGCGTTTCGTTTTACTACCATTTAGATTTTATTAAACGTTTTACGATTCGCCGAGTACGTTTCGGCTTTCAAGCTGGCGCACAGAATGAGCCATGTCACGATACTTCTCCCAGAGATTTTTACTGTTAAAGGGGCGATAGATAAACACACGATGGGTTTCTTTTTTTATAATAGCAGTAAAGAGATATCGACGGTAATAATATGTGTATGTAAGTTAAACGCGCGACGACGACGACGTCGTACGTTGTAAAAAGTAAAGTTAAAATCAGCGTCACGTACGTTACGTTATGAAAAACTCGTTAAGTGCGATAATGCACGTTGTCGGCTATTAAAGTGCTTTTTTGTTATATTGGATTTTATGGACTTTCGTTCGTTATCGACGGAACTGAGAACCGCTTGGTGGTGATTTAATCTCGTCGAAGCAGCCGAGAATAAAAGACGCGACTGTAAAACTAAAGAATATCCTTTCCCTTCTTCCCTGTACTCCCAGCAATCAATATCCGATACAACAATATTAAATGAGAATAGCGGATCGTTACTGTAGGATTAACAAGTTATTTTCTCCGGTTTTGCGTGTGTCTCGAAATTTTCATTCTTTTCTCCTTTTATCTTTATATATTCTTCCCTAAATATTCTGAAAGACTAAGAACTACGTATAATTAGCATATGTCAAATGTTTTCAAAATGCACTAATAAATTCTCGCCTCCTTCGGAGAATTTCTTCGAGCACTCACATACCCAAGCTGAGATCCTTCGTATATACAGAAACGTAATTGCCAAAGAGCTCTTTCGGTCGACGCTAATTGTAGCGACGTTGCACACAGCAGATGGTGCTTTTCTATATAACTATATAGTAACCAGCGAGGCGGATGCCTAATTTTATCCGAAGCTTCGGCAACGAGAACGGAACGCGAAACCGTAGCTTAAGTAGGGCTGAATGCGGCACGTATTCCAATCGACCTGATACACCCCGGCGCGTTATGATGGCCGGCGAATACAAACTGCACTTAGTTTAAC